CGGGAGGGCCCCAGGAGGGGCTTGGAGGACCCTGGGTGGACCTTGGCAGGGGTTGTAAGGCCACCAGCTGTCCCCATTGTCCCCAGGAAGACCTCAGGAGGGACTGGGAGGACCCTGGGTAGACCCTGCGGAGGTTGTAAGGCCACCAGCCATCCCCAGTGTCCCCAGGAGGGCACTGGGAGGATCTGAGGGACATTTAACACCACCACCGGGAGGGGCCCGAGGTTGCGTAGTGCCACCAGGGGGAGGGGACAGACTGTGACAGCCCAGGTTCTCACCGATCTTCATCTTCTTGAGGTCGGGCTCGTCGCGGGGGCGTTTGCGGGAGTCGCGGGGGCTGGGCATGCTGCGGGCGATCTCGGCCTGTTGGGTGCCCAGGTCGACGAGGAGGGTGGTGATCTGGGGCTGGAAGTCGCCCGAGGATGGGTGCCGCAGGACGCTCAGGAGATGCAGCTTCAGGTTCTTCCGGACACTGCTGACCTGCGACTTGGCCAGGGTGGGGGGGAGGTTGGCTGCGAGGGGTGACAGCGCATTAGGGACATGTGGGGACGCGGGGCAGGTTTGGGTGCCATCTCACTGCCGGTGGGGGGTGGGGGGGAAGCTGGGGACCTCGGGTGAGATGGGAGCTGGGGGAATGGGATGAGTGTGGGCGCCCCCCTCCCCAAAACCGGGTTGCAGGGATGCTCCGTTCCCACGCGGTGACAGTGACACCCGGCGAGGCGGTGTTTTACCGTGAAGGGTCTCGTAGGCTTGGATGACGAGGACCCCAGGAGGACCCTGAGGGGCACTGGGAGGACCTCACGACAGATTGGGAGGATCCTGAATAGACCTTGGTGGGGGTTGTAAGGCCACCAGCCATCCCCAGTGTCCCCAGCAGGGCAGTGGGAGGATGCTGAGAGGCACTGGGAGGACCCCAGGAGGGACTGGGAGGACCCTGGGGGGGGGGGGGGGAAGGGAAAAAATCCCCAGTGTTCCCAGGAGGGCAGTGGGAAGATGCTGAGGGGCACTGGGAGGACCCTGGGTAGACCTTGGCAGGGGTTTTAAGGCCACCAGCTGTCCCCAGTGTCCGCAGGAAGGCACTGGGAGGGCCTCAGGAAGGACTGGGAGAACCCTGGGTGGACCTTGGGGGGATTGTAAGGCCACCAGCTGTCCCCATTGTCCCCAGGAGGACCTCAGGAGGGACTGGGAGGACCCTGGGTGGACCTTGGGGAGATTGTAAGGCCACCAGCTGTCCCCAATGTCCCCAGGAAGGCACTGGGAGGACCCTAAGAGGCACTAGGAGGACCCCAGGAAGGACTGGGAGGACCCTGGGTGGACCTTGGTGGGGGTTTTAAGGCCACCAGCCATCCCCAGTGTCCCCAGGAGGGTAGTGGGAGGATGCTGAGGGGCACTGGGAGGACCTCAGGAGGGACTGGGAGGACCCTGGGTGGACCTTGGCAGGGGTTGTAAGGCCACCAGCTGTCCCCATTGTCCCCAGGAAGACCTCAGGAGGGACTGGGAGGACCCTGGGTAGACCCTGCGGAGGTTGTAAGGCCACCAGCCATCCCCAGTGTCCCCAGGAGGGCACTGGGAGGATCTGAGGGACATTTAACACCACCACCGGGAGGGGCCCGAGGTTGCGTAGTGCCACCAGGGGGAGGGGACAGACTGTGACAGCCCAGGTTCTCACCGATCTTCATCTTCTTGAGGTCGGGCTCGTCGCGGGGGCGTTTGCGGGAGTCGCGGGGGCTGGGCATGCTGCGGGCGATCTCGGCCTGTTGGGTGCCCAGGTCGACGAGGAGGGTGGTGATCTGGGGCTGGAAGTCGCCCGAGGATGGGTGCCGCAGGACGCTCAGGAGATGCAGCTTCAGGTTCTTCCTGACACTGCTGACCT